TGCAGCATCCTGGAGACTCTAGCACCAACTTCACAAACTGAGTGCCAAGACATATGGGAGAGTCACTTCCTATATAGTATTTTTCCATTTATATAAATATAAATCTCCAGCTGCGTTGTATCGCAAGCCACATGCTTATTAAACTTGTGCCTCATCTCGGAAAACAACAAGACTGGATAATTCTGTTGACATAATTTTAAACTTGGAGTGAAAATGTCTGTATTGTAATCCTCAACAGCTTCCTTGATCACATTTCTTGGATGCTAAGGCATGCTTCTGCAATTAGTTTAAACTCTGACACTTGTTAGTAAATTAATGTAAATGTTCGTCCTCTGTGAGGGAGCTGCAGTTTAGTTTAAGTAAAGCAAGTGGTTGTTATTTAGCTAGTGAAGGCTTCTAACAGAGATAAGACTTAAGATAACTCTAGATTGTTTAACGGGATAAGTCAGAAGCTGATTTGATGCCATACAGTCTTTATAAAAATTTATGTAGAAAATATGCACTTTTTTTCCACTCGCGTGGGTTTATTTCATTGTTACGTTACATACTTTTGCACTGTGTGCAGTTGCTGCCGGTATCATATTGTTCGCCTGGAATTTCTTTCTTCTAAGTGTGTGTGAGTGCGCGCCTTTTAACACTTCAGGTTTTTGGGGAAGTATTTCTACCTATTTCTAAGTGCCCTGTCTTTGATGCTGTTGTAACAAAAATGCACCAGTACATCACTGGCCTGCTTTTACGCTGTTATACGGCTATGCTTATGAAAATAATGCATGTAAATCTGTGCAGACACAATCCTGCATAGCTGTCAACAACATGCACATATTGTACAGATGATAGGAGAGTGGTCAGAGCAGATTTCAATCTTGGCATGTTTAAAACTTGACAGTACATGTGCTTTTAAATGAGTTCCTGTGCTCTTTGAATTTCAGCCTACAAACTGATTACCACTCAGTACACTTCTGGTCCTGTAAACATGAAAACTACATAGCATCTTGGTGCTGAATAATTAATCAAGTTCCTCAAGCTTGTAGCCAGTGTTAAGTGCCTACTGTATTAATTCTTTCACATGTTCACAGTTGTCATGTTTCACCTGGTAAATACTGATAATCACAAATGTAAACTAATCATCAACAACTCAGTAGTAATGTTTTGCAAATGTCTGCTTCTCTGACAACAGGGTAAAACTGCAAAATGTTAATGTTACTGTAGATTTTCAGAGCTCCCATATACAACACTCAATATTGTTACGATTATCATGTTTTGTGTGTGTACATGTGTTGAATTTTTATATTAATATGACTATTGTTGATGAGCAGGGTTTCTCAATGTATGCATTCTCAAGTGTCTTCCACTAGCTTGTAAACCCTTTGAATTATATAGACAGAAGAGAACATCTCACTCTGTGGGGTTTTCTTTTTTTTGGGGGGGGGGGTTAACTGGACAATCTGCTTATATTGCAGGGCGTCACAGTGTTTTATCACTCAGGATAGGCTGTCTTTGAGCCCTTGTTACAGTAAACCTCTTTTTCTGGCATCCAGTGACATGATAATATCAGGTTCGGTGTTTACTAAACTCAGACATGATGGCTGTGAACATTCAGTCCTCACAGGCTGAGAACCTAACCAGTTTTGCCATATAATAAGATGTGTAACAACAAGAAAGTGGAAGCATCTGCCATCAGGGTATAACTAGGTCAACACTTGCTGTCCTAATAAGGGACTTTGCATGCTTGTTTACAGAAGGAGGAGCTACTTGTATCATGGCTATGCAATTAGAAGTACATCCCTCAAGTATAACTACTCAAGATTACACAAATTCCTCATGAATCTGCTTTTGGCTGTATGATCATCCACTGTATGCAGGAAATGAGGATATTGTTTATTAGACTCATCAGACTGATTTGAACCTAAATGCTGGGAGCAGTAACACAAGACAGTACTATTACTGTATCCATCACTGGTGGTGTTAATAAGCTGTCAGGGTAGTTCAACATCTAGCTCATAGAAGAGGAGCAAGCGTAACACTTTTAAATGTTGCAAATGCAACGTTTCACCAAATATGAGCAAACACACAGCCTGTTTCTGTGCAGTTTGTCACACTATGCCTGCAAGCCAAACATACAGCTGCTGTATTTCAGTGAAAGAAAAAAATGAGAGATGGCTTCACCGAGAGAGAGAAGGATATAAGAAAGCCAGGACAAACAAGGAAGGAGTAAGGACAGTTCAGTGACATTCAGTCTCAAACTGGAAATTTAAAGCTTATTTATAACATCCCAATTCTTTTTAGAGTTATTTGATCAGATATTGGATCTATGAACAGGAACTTTTATTCAACTGTTATTTAAAGGTTGTATGAAAATACTAGGACATTTAGTGTAGGCCACACTGAGTTTAAAGGGCTTTGGTAAAGTTTAAATCGCTATATGGGTCTAGTGCAGTGAGGTTTTCATGAGTTAATGTTAGGCTACATGACAGGTGCTTCACCTCAAATGAAATTTAAGCTGACTAGATTGATCAAATTCTACCTTTTAACCAGCTTTATACTGTCAATCGGTGGGAAATCAGGCATGTAACATGTGCTTGTATCTTTTTTTTTTTTTTTTTTTTTTTTTGTATTCAAGAGTGAGCACAGCATATGTGCTCGCTCTTGAATTTTCCTGTTTAATTGTGGAGGGGCAAGCTCACCCATCCATGCCTGACAGAGCAATTTTTTAAAAATGTCCTTTGTTTTTCTCTGCGTGCTCTATATCACGGATGCTCAGGCTGTGGGAATTAAAATTAGCATTTCAGTTAGAATAAACTTCAGTCCCTCCTGTTAACGTTAATTTGTCATTATATTAATTCAAAAGGTTAAGTTAACATGGGGGGGGGGGGCTCGTTTTTACTTCTATGCTTTGAGTACATTTCAGAGACTGGGCTTTTTCAACTTTTAAGTAAAGCAGTTAAATCGCCACTTCCACTTTTGCCAGAGTACTTTTCAACACAAGTATTTCAACTCAAGTAATGTGAGTGTGAACTTTTGCCATCTCTGCTGCACTTTGAAAATTTGTCTCCAAAAGTTCTGTTCATCAGGACGTAGCGTTTTGTAGGAGAAAAAAATGGCCTTTTAAAAGGAAAGTCCCGAAATTTAAAATTAAATCAAAAGGAATAAAAAAAAGAAAGAAGAAAGAAAGAAATGGAGGAAAAGCATAGTTTAGGAAGTTTGACTTATGATTGTTTGACTGTCACACCCGAAAATTCTGAAGTACTTTGTATTTTGTGTTGTACTGGAACCTTTGTTTAATAAAAAGACTTTTGACAGAAAGACTATCACACCGATCTTCCAAGGGCATCTGCAAGTCCTTACTGGCCCATAGTCTCCACTGACAGATGTCTCAGGACATTTTTTACTCCAAAAAAGAACACTACACTGACCCTCTAGACTCTCTTAAAATATATATTCTTATTATAACATTAAAAAAATGAGCCTGCTGTCAGAATATAAGCAAAATTGTACTTTTGTCTTCCGAAAATCTATAAAGAAACATTGTGCTCTGTGCTCTACTTAAATTTAATTACTTGAGTAATTTGTTTTTTAACTTTTGAGTAATAACATAATATAGTCATGTTGCTCTTACTTAAGTACAATTTTTTTGGATACTTGACCCACCTCTGTTCACCAAACACATTTCCTGTGATCAAGCACTAGGTAAAGAAAATTTAACTGAGAAAATTGCTTTTCCCCCCCCCATTTTTACCTCATTTCAAATGCTAATACAGTTGAAATTAAAGAGATAATGTTGTTGGATGATATGCAAAAACTCAACCTCTCAGACTGACCAGACTATATCACATGATATAGCTTGTATGATAGTTAAATGTATCATATTATAATCACAACATGTGATGTGGCTTGTCTTGACCATCCCCAACATTTAACCTAAAAAAAAATAATAATAATAATTAAAATCAAATCTGTGCTATATTTTTGCCAATTTCCAGGTGGAACTGAGGAACTGGGACATTACTAAGTTTTCGTCCATGCATCCATTCATTTTCTTAACCATTTGTCCACTTCAGTGTTGCAGGAACCATATCCCAGCTGGCAGCCATCACGGAGACACAGCCAACTATTCACATCTATAAACAATTTACAACCATTGATTAACCTAATAGGTGTTTTTTTTTAAGTGTGGGAGGAAGCTGATGTGCCGATATACCTGAATAAAACCCACGCAGGCATAGGGAGAACATGTAAAGTCCACACAAAAGGACCCCAGCCAGACAATGCATTTGAACGTGGGATTTTTAAACCACTCTTTTCAAGTTTTACTGAATTTGTATAATCACACTAACTAGCTTACATATTCCCCAAAATAAAAGGCATTAATTTGTTTTTTACACGCAATTTATTTTCTGTCTTTATTCTTCAGTTTAACCGCTGAGAGTTGATCTGTTCTTCGGGGCAGTGTCAGCACACAAAGAACTGTAATAAAAACATTCTTAAACATCATCTATGTCCGTTCCATTGTTGTAACATGCAACAGGTCCTGCAGGAAAAAGCATGCCATTTTGCAGGCCTGTTTATTCACAAAAGACTTAATGGAGACTAAAGAAGGACAAACGTTCATTACATTTTCACCTCATTTCAAATGCTAAGGCATCTGAAACAAAAGAGATAATGTAGTTGGACAAGATAAACAAAGAAACCAACCTCTCAGACCGGTCAGACTGCATTGTCTGAATACTGATGAGGTTAAGACAGCAAACAGGGTGAGAGAAAAAATATATATCATTGTGCAATGTACCACATTTTATACATTTGACTAAGTATGGCAAAGCAATGGATCACATAATGTGCCTGCTGATCAAAGAACATATTGCCAAAGTTATGACTCTTCTATAGTCCTGTTATAAATCAACATCAATGTTCATTCTGTTATGGATTTTTCTTTTTGTTGCTTTACTATTTTCATTACATTCCATCAAAATGTCAGTTTGTAAAGAATTGACAGTCACATCTTGTTAGGAAATGGAGAGCAAATTTAATTACCAGCATATGTATCACAGATAAATGAGTACAACAGTAATCATTTCAGGGTTCAAGATGAAGGGACTGTAAAGTTCATCACTATAGAGCATTTACATGAAAGAGAAAAAAGGCTGGAATATTTAATGTAGCCACACAACTACACAGAAAATAAAATGTCCAAGCGCCCTTCAGGATGAGGGATATTTACAACGTAGAATCATATTTAGAATTTACACAGATTATCATCAAGAAATATATTTTTTTCTCCATGAATCAATTTTAATGTTATTTACTTTTCTTTTTTAATACTCTAGAGCCCTCCATTCCAGGCTGGCTCCTTCCATTTTTATATTATCCATTATACACTGGACTATATACACTGGACACCACTTAACTATAATCTATTACAATGATAATTTACATTTTACAATTACAATCAGGGGGTCTGGTCCACCCACAGTCACATTAATAAGCAGCCATGACCATGTCACACATACATTAACCAAACTTTTATGTTCCATTTCCTTCAACGTTTAACGATGAAACACTGCAATGGAGAATCTAAAGTAGGTTATTCGATCTCTTACCACTGAAAAATTCCTTTATGGCCCTAAAATATCTCTAGAAGTGTGTTCTGATGTGTTTGTGTTATTGCAGTAATCTGCTAAAAGATTTTTCATCTTAGTCCAGTTTTCAAAGTTTTCTTTTCCTGTGTTGATGGTCAGTTGTGGAGGGTACTGTTGGCTTCTCACAGGTCGGCATCAAAGGGTCTGCTGTTGACGGTGTTCACTGAGCGGGCAGGGGGGCTCTTGGCCCGTGGGAAGGACACATCGTCATCCATTGAGTCCCTGGAGTACGGGACGCTACTGTTGCTGGCAGCGCTCCTGGCCCGACTGAGATTCGGCACTTCAACGCGCCTGGCCGGGATCTTCGGTTCTCTGTGACGCATGACCTCTTCAACCCGGACCTCTCCTCGGTTCTTCCCTCCGCAGCAGCGGCAGATCCCGATGAACATAACGAAACCGCCCAAGACTTCAAATATCCCGCCGATGTAGCCCAGAATGATGCAGTAGCCGACTCGCGTAGTTATCAATGCTGTATTGACATTGGGCGTTGTGATGTTTGGGGGGCTGTGGGTGTACCAAGAGATCGGTATGATAGTCAAGACGCCTGAGCAAAAGATCAGCAGTCCACCCACACCGGCAACTACCCAGTTAGGCCTGTCTTTCCAACAGCGGACCCCCGGGATGGCAACAGCCAACCCGATTAGAGTCACGATGAGAGAGGCCACCATCATACCCTGTGCGGGCTGTATGATCTTGTTACTGAAGTACTGGGTGTCCGTTTGGCCGCACTGAGCACCGGAGCTTATTGTGGATGCAATACAAATATCCCAGATTCCTTGTTCAATGAACCTATCGGAAGAAAGAGTGTTAACATTGCTCAGAGTCCTCCAGTTTGGGGCCACGGTCGCGACCAAGTCCAGCACCCAGCCGCAGGGAGCCATGACCATCCCGAAGATCAGGATGCCCGGAGTGCGCAAAGAGAGCCGCATCCACTCCTGCGTTGATTGCCTCGGCATGATCGCGGTTGTTGTGGTGGTTGCTGCTGCTGCTGCTGATGTGCCTCTTCTTACTCCTAAACACGTTGCAATGACTAATTTCTACTGGGGCGATCAGCTTTGACGGCGTCGTCCTAAAAAACAAGTCCGACTGAAACTCAGCAGTGGGCGGGCCTTCATCTTCCCTTGCCTGTCTTGCCTGCCTCTGTCCCCAAATAGGACAGGTGTGGCGCTGTGTGCGTATGGGCGGGGTGCGCTTACATCTTCACCTGTAACTGCAAAAAGCAGAGTGCGCGAGCGGTGGGGGGCGGGGGTAGTTTCGATTAGGCTTTTTGTCGTGCCAAAGTGATAAGTGATAAAGGATAAGAAAGATAGAGGTTTTTCTTTTCAGAGTAGCTGTTTGAAGCGTGGTGCAAACGTGTCTTCCGCTTTTAGGAGGTATTTAAAGCTTCTAATAGTGAAAGCTACCCAGACTTAAAAACCTACGCAAGATATGATTTTTCGCATCTCCGGTTGCATTAACCTCCTAGGACCTGGCGTCCACATATGGGGACATCATATTTTGGGTTATTTAGACCAAAATACTCAATTTTGCTCTACAAGGGCCTGATATCCACTTACGAGGACATTATACAGCTTCTGTTCTATCAAAATTTTAAATGAATATCCTCATATGTGGCTCTCATTTTTCTTAGAAACAGAAATCAGGTAAAAAAAAAAAATTTTAAAAAAGGATCTGGTAATTCTTTGTTTTTACATTCATTGAGTCCCAATATGCTCAAATATCAAAGAGAAATTAAAAATGCATGCTGTGGAAGTGTTTTAGGAGGTTAAATAACTAAAAGTTTTATTTATTTATTTTAACTCTTGTTTCATCAGAAAAAAGGGTTCTTGGGATTTTTTTTAAGTGTTCTGAATGATTAAGAAAGCGAGTAGTGTATTTAGTAGAGTTGCGTACCAGGACCCAGGGCTGGACTTGGACGAAAAATCGGCCCCCTGCATTTCGACTAGAGGTATTATACAAAAAACCATAAAGCCTTTGAATAAAAACTAACCCTGTTGTGACAGTGATGTACACTGTCTTGTTGTTATATATGTCTCAATCTAATAAACTTAAACCTACACCACCCTCCCTATTCTGGTATTCTAAACAGTGCTTAGCCAAAACCCAAAGTCGAGTTAACCTCCTGAACTATCTACAACATATGGTGGAAACCTGAAATTAAGACAGAGAAGACTAGAGGTGAGACATGATCATTACTGAATATTAAAAATAATAAATGACAGATTTGGTGATATTCTCAAAAACTATTTATTTACCACATCAATAAACAGCATGGCAGGGCAAAATATTTTTTCTAACATGGCAACCTTTAAAAAGTGAAAGGAGATAGAAAGACAGGTGAGAAAGAATAAAACTTAATTGACTTTTTGATGGTATTTTACACACAGTACGGGTACAGTATCTAGAAAATGTGGGAAAATACTGGCATCATATACAGTACTTAGCTACTTCTGAAGAAATTATCATGGGAAAAAAATTACTATGGACAATAATGGATTTCTATACATTTTACATCAGATGAAAACGTTGGCTGTAAGATTCAGATAATTATTTCTTAAAAGTGAGACATTTTAAATGAGATTAACAAAAGAAAAGCATTTCTTTGTGTCCCATTTTCCCTGTTAATGCCCTACCTGGCA